GCGCAGGCGACGCGGCACTGGCCGCTCTGCAGCTCGAGGCCGGGCGCGCAGGCCGTGCAGTTCTGGCGCGACACGCACGTCCGACACGTGTGCGGGCAGCGCTGGCACGTGCTGGCCAGGTGCTGGTACGAGCCGTCCGGGCACAGCGGGTAGCAGCGGCCGGCGTACAGCATCGGCGTGGTGGCGGCGCACGTCAGGCACGCGTCGGCGCCCGTCCCGTGGCACGTCAGGCAGCCCGCGTCGCACGGCGCGCAGTGCCCCGTCTGCTGGTCCATGTGCTCGCCTGCAACAAACATCAAAACATCTTCAATACTGCGATTTCTAGTAATTGCCGTCTGTAGGATGACACTATTTTTTGCAGTTTTCAACCCTAAACATCAATTCTGTTAACAAAATCTCGGGTAATATCCTGCAAAGCTTATAGCGAGACTTAAGTTTTTTACGGTGTCATGCATATTGACCATTACCCTCTGCTATGGAAAATAGTTTCTCTTGGAATTTAAGGTTATTTCTTGAATTTAAGGTTATTTCTTGAATTTAAGGTTATTTCTTTAATTCAAGGTTATTTCTTTAATTCAAGGTTATTTCTTTAATTCAAGGGCGAGTGAATTACTTCAATAATGCCCTTGAAGTATGCCAGACTCTGTCTTGAAACCCTCTGCTTCGAAGGGGATTTCGTCTGATGTGCAAGGGGTTGCGATGGATTCCCAGTGCATTCTCAGCAAAAATTGATGATCACTGATCGCTGATATCTCAGCATTCAAAACACTGTTGAGATTTCAGGTTGTTTGTTAAATTTTCTAATCACTTTACCTACACGCGAAAATTATTGGTCTCATTCCCGTTGAAAATATATAATTCGTTCGCTGCGCTCGTTCTTCTGAAATAACTGTCCTCTGAAATTTGCCCATCGAAAGAGTGGGGGAGGAGGAGTATAGGGGAAGGGGAAGGTGAGAGGGTTCGTCGCCCCTTCGTCCCACCGGTCCCTCCTTGCCGCCATTCCGTGACAAGGCGCGCACCTCCATTCCCACTGCGGATCCCTCCCCGCCTCGCCCCGCCTCGCCTCGCTCCTTCCAGGCAGCCGCCCTCACCTTCTCATTAGCACCGCATTATCATCAAAAAGCCCACGCGAACCCATCCAGCGCCGGGGCCGGGCGGGCCCCGCTGGGAAAACGGCGCGCAAAACTTGTGCGCACCAAAAGCTGGCGCGGCTCTGCGCGCACGGATGGCTTGCCGGCCGCTCAACCGCGAGCGGGGCTCGCAGAGGGGAGCGGCGACGACGAAAAGAAGAGGGTGGAGAGCGCGCGGGGAGGCCGCCGGAGGGAGAAAGAGAGAGGCGAGCAAGGATTCTTGCTTCTTCACCTTTCGGATCAGATCAATGGCAAGGCCGCGGCTCTCAGCCCCAGCTCGGCGACGGCGTGACGCGAGGAGGACGCTCGCCCGCCCCCGTGAAGAGCCGCCAGAGCCAGCGGAGCCACAGAAGGCGGCTGCGAAAGGATTTCCCTAATTCAATTATTCACGTCATTAGCAGCCCGTGCAGGTGGCGCCGCGCCGCGGGGACGGACGCCTACCCCTCGCCATTACACTATCGCGTTAATCTGCCTGATGGAAAATGTAATGGGATTCCCGCGGCGGCGCCCTTTCATTCTCGTTTTCTATCGGCCGCTCAAAAGAGACGGGATGATGGCACACTCATCCGCGGGCGCACACACGGGTCCAGGTCCAATTGGAACGGACACCCCGTCAGTGTGGTCAGCAGCGGACAAACGAAACTGCCGTGCGGTCGGTGTGTCGGTCGGGGACCCGCGCTCTGCTCGCTAATGGCGGCGTCTTTTCGGCAGTGTAGTAGCTTTGGTGCGGTCATGCCCTCCTGCTAATGCTATCGCACAGCGACACGCCAAGGAGAGGCGGGAGGGGGAT